CCTCCCATCCCTCCAACTCCCTCCATGCTATTATCCATTCCGTTTCCCATCCCATTCCCCATTCCATTTCCCATCCCATTTCCCATCCTATTTCCCATCCCATTCCCCATCTCAAGATTAAGCCCCAGTGATCCAAGATCAAGATTGCCTAAGTCTCCTCCCATGTTATCGTTGTTGTTGCTCATACGTCCACCAGCACCTCCCATTCTTCCTCCCCCGCCACCACCACCACCACCGCCACCTCCTCCTCCCCCTCCGACCATTATTTGTCCCAGAAGCTGCTGCAGGGAATTGTCGGACATCCCATTGCCACCTAGATCGTCCATCCCAAGATCCATTCCTGTAAGTAAACGACAAAGACACATTTCACATTACATCATCATATTTTGGTTTCCTCAATAAGTAGTGGGTTGATGTTTCCCATACAGACAAACCTAAGTTATTATTATTACCGCTTGTTCAAAACCAATCTTAAACCATCCAAGAATCAATAAGAATGTGTTAGTGTACTTGCTAAAGCACATTAACTCACACATTGACAGATGATGAGACTTCTTTTCTCACCACTGTAGGTCACATCGCCTGAAAAACATTTTTTAACTATTTCATGTCATGGTGTGGCGGATAAAGCCTATATGTAAGATTAACGATCCCACCCTACATTCTCTCTTGCTGAAGTGCAATTGGATATGCTAAGTATGTTAACTTCTATCTACTACAGGAAGCAAATAATTTGAATTAACGAGTTCAATGAAAGCATGGGTAGTTTAAGAAAACAAAGTAAGACAGATTATAATGTTATTACAACGTGCACCCACCGCCGACTCCTTGTCTGCTTCCACCTCCCATGTTAAGTTTTTCTTCTAGAGAGTTTACCAAATTGTCACTGCCGTCACCATACTGCTGACTTTGTGAGAGTCCCCCTGTCAATGAATCGAGCCCAGTCAAACCTGTCGAAGCAGTGTTTGCAGTGTTTCCCAAGACGTCCAAGCCGTTATTCTGATATGCGCTCACTGAGTTTAACGAATTCAAGTTAGATGTCCCTCCTCCGGCTAAGTTTGACACATAAGAGTTCAAACCAACGTATGAATTACCACCTGTTTGTGCTGAGCTTAAAGAGTCCAGTCCCGCAGCGGAAAGATCGCTCAATGCTGATTGGCTTTGACCATTGCCAGTTGTATCTCCATAACTTGAACCAAAGTTGTGCCTGGTATCCAATACCGCATTAGAACCCAATACATTCGTACCGCCCGTTCCATACCCGGTGGCAAGCATTGTCCCGACGCCAGCACCATAGTCTGCAGAAAGACCCGTCCCGTAAGTACCACCTGCCCCGTAACTTGTCCCTAGTCCCGTTGCAAGCCCCGTGCCATAACTGTCCGTTGTCGTGCCTGTTAAACCTAATCCCAGTCCATTCCCTAAACCTAACCCACCCCAGTTGGCAACTATAAACTGCTTTTTCTTTTTATGCTCTCCACGACTCCTTGCCCAACGTGGATTAGAAGAGAGAGTTGCCTTTTTAATCGTAGTCTTGGGCCGCAGCGATATTTGCTCGCTTTTGCTAAGTGCAGGGCCTTTCGTACCAAGTAAACGTTTCCTTGCAGATGGAAATGTTGCCGTTGTCTTCCCATTTGCACGTTGTGACCAATATGATTTGGCAGCTAAGTTTTTAGCATTCAGCATTGTTTCCTTTGCAGGGAGAACAACCTTGCTTGGAATACTTTTAGAATTGTATCTATTTTGATAGGCACCGTAACGGATTTTTGTAGGAACATAATGAAGACTCCAATAATTGTTCCTTGAAATTCTTGGTGTAAATAGGTTTGGTGCCAGTGGATCCTTGGCCCTTGGAGATGGTCGGTACGTTTGACTTTTGTATGATCCTTGTAGACGTGGTGAAGCTGTAAAAATTGAGTTAGATTTCCTTAATTGTGGTTTCTTGCACTGGATTTCCAATAGCAAAAGTTTAAATATATGTTCCACTCTTACGGCCTTAAAACGACAAATAATTATCTCGTTATTAAGAGGTCTTACGAAACCACCAAGGGCCTCCACAGACTAGACGCTTGGTAGCCAACAACCTTTTAGTTATCGACAGCTAATTGTGTTAGATGCGAGCATTCCACACATTGGAGTGTTAGTTGTCGATGTCTAAGTCAGGTCAGCGAGACCTTAGGAACTAAGGTTCCCTATGCGTGCTCAAAACACAACACGCATGCTAAATGTGCGTCATGTTTCGATAGTTGCCGACAACTAAACCAATGATTCCCACACAAGGGAAAAAAGGTCAAAACGTAGTTGTCGACAACTAAAGCAGTATCTCGTTTCAAAAACTGAAAATTGTTTAGTTGTCGAGAGCTAAAAATTTAGCGTTTTGTGGTCGACAACTCATCTCACACACTACGGTTTTCACGGTGGATAACAACTAAATGTCTAGTCTGTGGAGGCCCTTAATCAATTAGTTTCTCTATATAGAGCGACGTTGACTACTCCTTTGTTGTATATAGCCTGTTGGCCAACAGTGTTTGTTTCGTTGTGGAAGTTGCCATGCAACCCGACTATTATATTGGTGCCAAGCAGTACCAGTGTCATCCTTGCATTGCACGCGGGAATCGCAACTGCAGGTATGTTTCTAACCACTACAAAGACGTCTTTTTAAAATTGGTGTTTCTTCTCCGTTAGTCTGGCCGTTTCCATGGAAAGGATTTTTGATTTTACCTGATGTTGTCAGAGGCCATTCCACCAGTAAAATGGACAATAAGGCCAGTAAATTATTCATCACAAGCTATAATTTCTTGCCGTTTCCTCACATGGCTTTCGCCCTGTGAAGAGAAACAACAATCAACTTCTAAAACGCTAACCTGGAACCTAACTAAAGCACAAATAAATCCTGGTTTTAACAAACTTGAAATGAAAGACAAAAAAATCTTCGTGTAATCCCAAGAGGTTTCTCTCGTCAGATCGTGTCAACATGTACAAACAGAACTGGTGGTAATTTTCAGGATTTGTAACCAGCCCAATCTGATGGCAAACCCCGGCTAAAATGAGCAACAAACCATGAAAAAAGGCAAACAGGATCGCCAGTTATTCCCTTTTACCGCCATAGTAGAGTCATTATATAAATCCATGTTTCAGCAAATATCAAGCGATATTTAATTGTCGAATTAAAGTATACAATAGACACTTCGAGAAAACCAAACAGCCACAGGAAAATAATCATTGACTATCTGTATTTTTGGAAATTGGAATCTATATTTTTTTACCGGATCCTAATCTGATATTGCTTTATTTTTGTTTATTTTTTCTTCCAAATTATTCTTTGGAAACACTCTGGTTTAATTACCCACAAAGAAAAAGCATCATTACTAACAAATTCTTCTGATCTTGAAAAAGATATAATATAATATAATATATTCATCTGCACAGCATCAACACAGTGCAGAGAAATTGCGAACCTCAGGTAGATTTAGTTCGGAAAGCATATAATAATAATTCTGTTAAAGAATCTTACAAACTCTGATTTACTCTAATTAACAAATGAATAACGGAAAGATGACTTGTAAGATTTGTCATTAAAACTGGATCAGGAATCAATTTTTAGATTACTGCTGCTTCAGTTTTGTTGTAACTCATGGCTAACTGAAAATATAAGTTAATTTTACAAAGCATAAATCAAGACCATAAAAACCCGGACCAAGAGCCCTTTATAGGTGATAAAAAGTCATATTCACTTCATAATTATGACATTTTCTTTGCATCGTGAATGTCGTAATTACTAGACACAAACATAACTTTATGGTTTCTGATGCCGTGTGACAAAACAAGATACTATCGCAAATATTTTCCCTTATTCTGATACAAATTTACAAATCACTCACCATTTGTAACTACGTCCTAGACAAAACATTTCGTTCGATGATCCGCCATTATTTTTCGCGACCCACGATGCATGCGATATCACGAATTATGGGCCCTGTTGATGACTTCCAAATTTGGACATCGAAAATTATCTGATACTTGATTTCATGAATTACCTCAGTAAAGAGTGGAAAATAAGTCTTTAGGGCGGCACTGAAATTATGTATCTCTATATTACATGACACATTTCTGGCACAAGATTCCCTTCAGTCACACCCTCATGAGATACGGGAAGTGAAGAAACTATCGAAGTGAAAACACCAGTGCCAACCTGTTTTGACTGGTGGTTTTCCTTGCATGAATAAAGGCAATCAGCACTTTTATCGAAGGGGTATCCCTTAACTAACCGAGAAATAGAGTAAATCGATGTCCTTTGTGGCTGAGAATCGTTTCAGACCTTTTTATTTTGATATCCTAATGAGAGAGATTGTTGTGTCTCACGCCACACACTCTGCTAGGGAAAACAGGGCTATGTTTTACAAACAGGTTAGAAGCGTGAATCTAGCCACCTGTAACAGTATTAGTTGTGTTTTGACCTCTTTTTGTAGGACGCACTTGCAAAAGAAAGAAGGCATCCTTGCATTGGTTCCAGAAGTAATCCTGAAACAAAATGGGTGTCCAATTTGAATTGAACATCTTGAAGATGGAATGCAATCAACTTCAGACACCTGCTTTGTTACGGCGACGTCTTGGGTTTTTTTGTTAGGAAACCCTCCCTATACCCGAGTAAATTTCTGTCAGATTATATTCTGATTGTTTTTTCAATCTTCTGCTTTGCTTTAACTAATTGCCATAGCCTTTAACTGCCTTTGTTATTTGCGCACTTGAGAGAGAAAATAATTCAGAGAGTCAATTATGGTTACCTTGAGTAGTTCAAAAACTATTTTTAGATGAGTACTTTAGTGTTTGAACTTTTGAACTTGTTCCATCCCAAAATACATGAAGACCGAATGTGATGGTTGCCATTTTTGGAACAGGAAAACTTATCGAAAATCAGTTTCTTGAATATGTTCTCTCGATTCTTTCCAATAAGTCAAAATCCACCAGTTTCAAATTAACACAAGTTTCCTGCAATGATGGGAGCAAATTGGCAACCTCAAATTGCTTTACATAAATCCTCTACTCTGGTGATTTAGATAGTTCATTTTACTTAGTAAAGGTATACGTTGCTATGAGTACTGATGATGACACCCGTAAGAGAGAAATAAGCCATAACTTTACCAAGAACCCCAGAGAGCTAGAGGACGGGAAATAAACAATAACTTAAAGTTTGTTAAATTATTTTATTAACATGCTGTCTCCATACTGCAAATTTATTACAAATATTTCCTGGTGAGACGTAAGGTGAGCTCCCGTCTTACTGCAATAGACCATATTCGTGTTCTCGCTTTTAGACTGGCACTAGCTTGCAATAGAGGCTCATGCGGGTAAATATCATTATTAAAAAGAGATGGACCATTTGCATTTGAAAAACTCAAGCCTCAGTCGCAAGCTAGTTCCAGTCTAATACCAAGAACACGAATATGGTCTATAAAATTAATTTCTGATCACAAGAGATAGAAACCTACAGCAAATATTTTTAATTTAGTTGTGTGAGGTGTCATGCGTGTTCAAGTAACAATAGTAATGTTATTTCACCAGGTGTGTCAAGTATGCAAATGTTAATTTTGTTCTTCGAGAACCCTTCGCTGACGGTTAGCTGTTCATTTGGTCTAACATCCGCCCAAGGTCAGCGGTTGTTTTTATCATTTCGCAAGATATAGTTTTTAAGTAACAAATAACGAACAAGTAAACTATAAAAGGGATGGCTTTCATTTTGGCAATCAACAGCATTAGCGGTGCACGTAAATAGCATCGGTGAAAACTCTAGAATTCATGACGTGTTAAGTTTTTATAGTTTGGCAAGCGCTGAATAGATTATATAAAATTGGTAGCTGATTTCATAACAAATAAAATGTATGTATGTATGTAAATGTATGTATGATTTCCCACAACACTTTAGAATAATAATTTGCAAAAACAAGAATCTTAGTTCACAGGTGACCTTGGTGTTAACACAAGGTGATAAGTTGTTTACGTAAATTTCACTCCGGGATCTAAACTCTGAAGACGAGCATGCGTCATGTTAAGCCAGGTTTTCACTGCAACATAAGCACAAGCACAAGCATAAATTAAACGGTAGTGTGGATGCCCACAACACAAGTATAAGCACCAGCTTGTACCTATGCTTATGTTTATGTCAAGTGAGAACGCGCTGTTGTAAGCATAAGTCCGCCATCTTGTTTCACTCTATCGAGGAGGTATGGAACCGAAAATTAAATACCCATTTAATTATTTATTCTACTTGTGTTGCGTAGACCGTTACGCTTATGCTTGTGCTTATGTCGTAGTGAAAACGAGGCCCTAATTTCCTCCTTTAAAACAAGTCTCGTTACATATTAAAGCCTTTTTATTGGAACAATATTGGAAGGCAAATGACAAAAATATTTGCGGAATGGTTATAAAGAAAAAAATACAAATGAAATGGTCTGGCTCTGTGTTTCAGACTTTGTTTGTGCGGGTTGCTAATTTTCAACAATTAGCGTAGCAATTTTCCATGGTCAACCTACTCTATACATAACTAACGTCACCAAATGCTTAAAACTCACAACCATGCATGTATGTAGCGAGTAATTCCATTCTAAATTCTGAAAGAAAAAATAAGGGACTTTTTCTCAACTGACTTGGTTGCGCGAGAAGTTTCGAACCCCGGGTTACTCTGAAGTATAGTTTTTTGAGACACGTTTTCAATTTAGGCAATATTCAAAACAATTCTGTTGCAATGTTCTTCAACAATGCAAGTTTAAAGTACAGACCATTAAGAACTCATTTCATATCGTATTCTCCCCCCCCCTTCCCTTCATATCTTGTTAAGCTGACGTTGCGGATTCCCATTAGGCAATGCTGTAAATTTTGCTAGGTACTCGCAAATTGTTTCAGTCTTTATTGGCGGAACACCGTAGATTCTGCCTCAAAAGTCTTAAGATTGTACTTTTATCTGTTTTGCATAACAGAGCAATAATCCTTTTTTTACTGACGCAATACGACACAGAACGTATTGTTCCATTTTCATTATAAAATTATTGGAATCACACATTACATGTACATGAAATGGTGGTGTTAGACCAGTTCTTTCAAAAGTCGTTACCTTACATTTGTTCGTCATTAAAGCAATGTTTCCTACTACAAAAATGATAACATACATGCCTGTTACGAAGCCCAGGTGCTACGTATTATGTTGCATGTAAACAAACGTCGAAAACTCAGAACCTTTAGTTTAACTTTAATAAATCCACTTGCAAATCCAAACATCCACGAGCTAAAGTACTGCGACAAGCATTTCGATCAGCCCAATTTTAGCGATTTAGGTTCATCTAGTCCAGGTTTTCTACAGACATCAAAAGGAACTAACTAAGTACGGGAACCAAAGGAGCGAAATTAAACGAATGCAACCCTTACCGACTGTTTCGTTCCAAGTACAAATGTCCTATGTTCTTCAAAAACAACAACATGGCGGATCGCAAATCAAAGACAACGCACATGCTTCATGACAGGTGAAGCAAACACGTTACGTCATACACAGGTCCGCACAACGTGCGCAATGGTGGCTACGATGCCAACCAGTTATCTCGCTCTTCAACACCACAAGGCTCTTTACACAGAAAATCCGGCAGAACAATTAGATCAGACTAACATGATTCTGCCATAAAACACCAAAACGCATATTATTTCCGCCATATTGGTACAAAAAACTTATACTAGTAGGAATGGACTTGAATCTATGTTAAATCTGTACAGACAATTCTTTTTGGATAGGATATCGTGAAGCGTCTTCTTTTGCAACACCTACTAAATAAGAGAAGAATAGAGAAAAGTTTTCACAGAAAATTAATCCGAGCGCTATCAAAAGTAATTAGTTAATTTTATGCGTGGTAGTTTTGTTTTCAGACAAAACTTCAAGCTTTTTTTAAAAATTTTGCAAGTTGAGGAATGATCGAGCTAAGGTCGAAGTTGATTCTGGCTAAACACAAAGCACGATCCTGTTACTTTATTTTGTCACGTACGGGCAGCACCAACAGAAATTCAGGTCTTTATCTTTCTTCTGAGGGCCAGAAATTGTAGCCATTGCCATCTTCCTTGTCCTGTTCTTCATCCGGGAAACCCTCTTCTACCTGACTTGCAGGGAATGGTATCGTCTCATCTGCGTCTACCTCCCGTCCAATGTCTTCGATTTGTTGGCTTTGATCATCAGTGTAGCGTTGTATTTCGTCCCCTAAGTTTGACACTTCCTGGCCTTTTTCGGTTATCCTGGAACTCATTTCGTCACCAAGAACCTCGGTTTGATGTGACAAATAATTGACGCCACGCCCACCCGGAAGTAATTCTGGCACGGGAACATAGAAAGGATCGCCCATTTCGAGTTGGTATGGGACTGGACGTAAATTAACTGTGAAAAGACACATTGATTACGCCGATGTTGCAAGCTTTTCAGTCGAAATAACTCTTAGACTCTGGACAACAAAAGCAGAGAGCCCTGAGTATATATAATTCTCTTATACTGTGCATTAAACAAATAACCAAAGATACAGATACGTTTGGATCAAAATTACCGAAAACAAACATCTAGATAGATTGCAACTCTGATGAAGGTGGACAGAAGCCATCGAAAATTCAGAAAGGAAAATTTAAAGGAAATTAGATCGGATTACAAAAAAAAACTTAAAATTGTATATCACCGATCGCAACAGTGGGAAGCAACACAAGTACTCCTTGTAAGTACCAAAACAAATCTAACGCCTAAAATCGAATTGCAATTGTTAATTAACACAAATGAGTCACTGTTAACAGTTGTCTTGGTGATCCTCGGTTAAATTAAGACGCTTAACTACCGTCCAAATCAACTTATCAGTACCATCTTGCTACATACTGCACTTAAAGTCTTAGTTACCCTATCCTGCAGCTGGTTGGTTAAGCAAAGAGTGCCAGTGATATGCAGGGCAGAAGGGTCAATCACGAGGTTCATTCCTTGACAAATTGAAATCCTTCTGATGTTGTAAAACTGTCACGAATACGTTAGCTAAACTCGTTGTTTTAACATTGAGGGTGTTGTTATCAAACTGTGACAATTTCTCACACCACTTGAACTCCATTTTGTTACGTTTTTCAAAACAATATAATTTTTTGGTATTTTCAAGCTTGTAAGATCTTACATCTTGCTAACATCGTCGTCCACTCCTTCAACCAGAAAAGGGTCAAGTTTTGATCCGTCGGCCATTTTCCATCCGATCACTAAAGTATAGTTTTAAGGTCGGCTGACATAACAAGGCTTCTTCTCTTCCGTAGTCAGATGCTAAAGTAGAGAAAACTTACCTGGACGACAACACAGAACGCATAACAACGACAGGACTGCCAAAAGAACAAACCTTGCCATTCTTCATTGCCAGGTCTTCGGTTATCAATATTCCTCAATAGTGAGTTTAGTTATTTTACCTGTTATCCACCTGTGTCACGCTTGAGTGGTTCCCTAGGCTCAGTAATAATTTTAATATTATTTTTATAACTTTTATTGGGGATCACAATGTTTTGTCTCTACTACAGAGTATTTAAACTTATAAAATTTGCTAATTTCTAATTTAGATACCCCTACAGTGGAAAATGATCGAAAGAGACTAGAAAATATGAACTTTTGTACACTTAGGCTTGTTCAACGGCGCATTTCAACCGATAGCATTTGGTGCCACAATATATTCTTGCAATCAACGCACGCAAACTTAAAGCTGAATGACAACTAAGAACCGCGCGATTAAATTATGAATTTCACAACTCACTATCTGTGCTCAATTTAGTGCCAATGTTTCCGTGCACCATACTCTCCGTAATAATGGAAAAAAGCCGTACGGAACGGTACATTTTGATTCAACGTTTTCCATCCGGTACTTCAAGACCCATTGATGGGGTGTTACCAGACAATTAATGAAAAGCAAACAATTATGTCAAGTCACTTCGATTTTATCGATCTTTATGTGGTCGATGGATCTTTCTTTTAAAGGTGAACTTTTTGAACGGCGAGGGAGAAGTGCATCGCTTACAGAGTCTTTTGTGAAATGATGCAATTGATTTCTTGCTGGCTTTCAAGTTCGTCCCAGAATAACTCAATCGCTGACCGAATCGGTGACCAAGAATATGCTTCTTGTTGCTTTCCCCGTTGTTTCGTTTGCCAGCCAGGTCTCTTTGCTTTCCCACATTCTTGAATGTTGCCGCGTGCTTCGTAACAGGCTTTTTCGCAGTATTCTCCCTTACCTGATGGCTCCTGATCAAAACCACGTGTCCTCGATCGCTGTCAAAGTCACTGTTGCGGTACATTGTTGTTCTCTGGACGCCCTTTTCATCTAAAGGCGGCTTTGAAAGGAATTGTGACTCATCAAATTCATCTGCATCTGACCTTAACACCGACGCCGCTTCACGTATTCCTTGGATAATATTAGTCGATTCTCCTTCGTCTCTGAATTTCCCTCTATTTTTCTGTAGCAATTCCTCGGCTAGGGCTGTACCAAGGCCACGTGATGGTCCCGGGATTGGATCCAAGGGTGGACTTGCAACGCCGCTCTGTGCAAGGAGCTTCTGATCCCCGCCATTAAAGAAAACTTTGTCTTCCTCCTCCTGGGGAATAACATCGTTGTCCTTCAAACCGTTCAATTTGTTAAAGAGACTTAATTTCTCGTCCCCTAGCAACCTTGAATGTGGTCGGATATTTCCCAATCCACCTCCTCCAAGCACTTCATGAGATCTACTGGCAGCGTGACTTAATGGACCAGACATATCATCTTGGTTTGTTAATTCTTGGTCATTTTTTGGCTCAGGTACAGCGAGAGTTTTCCCATCAAAACTCTCATAACTAGAAGGTGTCCTTCCTTCAGATTTGGAATTCCACCAACTCTTATCAGTAAATGGGCTATTCTCATAATCTTTTTGCGGCTGATCTCCTTCTCCTGTGTCTCCATATTGGCCGTATGAATTCGCGTTCCAATCGTCGCTCGGGCGGTGCTGAGGCCTTGGCGCACCTTCATTACCTAAACCTTCGATTCCCCCTGTGTATCCTGCACTTTGACTGCTTTGGCTGCTTTGGCTGCTTTGGCTGCTTTGGCTGCTTTGGCTGCTTTGGCTTCCCCTGAAAGGCTTGAAGCCTGGGAATAAAACAGGATCTTCAGGGTAGATGTTGGATGAGTAAGGGGTCGGCGACGATGGTTTGTAGTACTTGTGCCATTGAGTACTGCTTTGAATGAACGACACCTGAGCAGGCGACATGGTATCCACTCGAAGGCTGCCTATTTCCTTTGAAGGAGGCGTGTTGAAGAACCTGTTGGCTTCATGCGTCTCTGGGCTGACCATACTTTGCAGCTTGTACTCCGCCTCATCGATTCTGTTTGTATCCTCACCAAGTAGTTCCTCCTTTTTTGCGACATTCACTCTCTTTGGCAAACTGTGCTGTGTACTTCTGGTGCTACCTGGGACGTGTAAGTGTCACCAGTACACAGTTAGACACAAATCACAAAGTAAACATTCGTCATCACTAGTAAGAAATTATCATACGTAAATCATAGCGTTTCTTTGCATTCATAACGAATCAACTGCGAATTAAACATGGCAACAAGAGCAACAAAACTGAAGACACAATTTACCAGAAAACAGAAGAATTTCAGTTTGTTAGTGATAATCAAAACTAGAAACATCGCGTTTCCTAGCAACATGGCTGTGGTAAATACTGGCTCAGACATTTCTTAGAAATGGAACTGAGACAGACACAGTTACTTGTGTTCTAGGATTTTCCGAGAAAATACCCACTGGCAATCCAGCATGGGTGGCAAGAGACAGGTGGAAGTAGTTCAGTAGACAGACCAAATTTCAAGCCTGGCATGTCAACCATTAGCCCATCCGCCTCCCATTCACATGCACGCCCACTTAACGGAATTACTTCCTAATTCGCTAATACACGGATTAAGTTTTACGTTTCTCTTGAGTTCAAATTTCATACAGCAATTGCAATTATAGAGATTTACCTATTTCAATTAGCATTTGCTGGTTAACTTCAACCTATTTTAAACTGGTGTGCGTAACACGACGCGCTTTAAATGAACCTGCCTGTCTCAATTCATTAAAAGGGGTAGCCCCATTTTAAGAAATGTGACAGTTTTTTTTTGTATGAAAAGGAGGATCAAAATCATACCTTGGCTAAACTGCATTTGACAAACCTAGATTATTTGAATGATTTGAAATGAAGCTTACGTGGTTTTATGTTAATAAAGCAGTAAAGGAAGAAAATGATGGTACATGCGTTGTCACGGTTAAATGCTAGTTAACGAAAAGCTCTAATAAAAATGAGGCATTTTGATTCGACTTACCATGTCTGTGCGAATAGATGGGAAATGTTAACCACTGCAGATGTAAAACTAATAGCAGGTAATGCATTTTACAAGAAAAATACGTCCAACATAAGGCTGCATTTATAAACTTAAACCAGCCGGTGTTTTCTACGGGTGTCGAGAACATCGAATTCACGACCGATTAATATTTCACACTTTCTGACGTCAAATCATCTTCCTTGTTTTGTCTGAACAAGTTTGTTGTGGTTAAAGAGAATTTGTTGGGACTTTGATCTTGATATTATATTCTTTTCATGCTGTTTTTATATCTGTAAAGTAGAAAGGTCAGACATTAAAGTCAAAAAGTGGAAAAGTGACCATTTTACAGTAGATTACGAATTGTAAGTTTAGAACGGTCCGACGAATAAAGCAGGTGGTTTGTTTCGCCTTTTGACTCCCCTGGCAAAGATTACTGTTTCCTCTAGTTTTCACCAATCTGATCAGAGGAGATATTTGTTTACTAATAATATTACTAATATCTAGTGCAATTAGTGAAATAAGTTCTTCGTATACAGAAGTCAACTTGGCTGGAGATCATCAGGAGGAAATTAGATTTATTTACGGATTTAAGTAAACTTAATGACAGTTTTGCCACTGTGTAAATTTATGAAATCTAAGTCAATTAATAGTCCCATAAAGACCCGGTATAGACCGGGGTTCCAATTAATTATCTTTTCCCCTTTCACGTTCATTTTCCAGGGAACTTAGTCACGTGACCAATTCTGTCATTACATCATTCGATTTATTGTTTGATCCTTTCTTCTCAAAACATGGATTCTTTTGTCGAAAAAACGTAATTCTCGAAATGTGAAAAATTATTGAACGGACTGAATGAGTCGTTATGGTGTCGAAAGCCAAATGGACTTCCATATTGTTTGTTCTACAAGCAGTGTTAACAGGTTTGTGATCTGAATCTTGGACGATATCTTAACGGCAGATTATTTAAGAGTTGTTTGTGTTTGTTCGCGAATGTACTTAAATAAATTGTCACGACAAAATTCTTTCAGAAGCAGAGGTTTCTGTTAGCCTCAAAACATATCTTCGCGCATCGATCAGGTCGATAAAGCGAATAGCGAAATCAGGCCAACCTCAACAGTTACATACGCATCGCTGCCTTTGTTAAAGATGGCTGACGTCGACGCATGTTGTTGTGGTCACTGTCTTATGTCGCATTTCCTAATACCATAAATTCCCTTCTACTACAGAATAACTAAAACGGCACAATTTTCTATGTTTACTTCTCTGGGTTAAAGTACACTCATAATATTGAAGTCAATTAACACTATTTGTTCCATAACTCTATGCACTTTATACAAACAATGCTATGAAGTGGGCGGAACGAGCGAAGTTTTGGTTCTTTCTCCAGACGCTGGTTATCGGCCTTTAACCATGTCTTAAAAGAAAGTATTAATCGTAAATTTTATTTTTAAAAAAGTGTAACCAGGGCCATATTACTTTTCTATAATGAAGTAGCTCCATGGTGGTAAATTGTATTCCCCTCAGGTGACAATTATTTCAAGTGTGCAACAGCTAAGAACGACTTCAACATTGATCAAAAAGGTTAAAACCTTGAGATTGCATTAAGAATTTTTTTATGACTGTTATGTTGCCATTTCTTGACATTGCACATTCGTTTGCTTTATTGCACTTTTGTTACATTTCGCTTACGACATCTTTTTTGTAAATTTTAGCAACCACGCTATCAAAGGTAGCAGTTGGTGAAGTTGGAATATCCCATGGCTCTAACATCACAAACAGTAAATCCCGCAAAAGGCAGGAAATAATATTCCTTCGAGATGACTTAACACATAAGAGAAACAGGGAAGGAGAGACCATGTCAAACATAGAGAAACATGGAAAAAGCTTGTCTGCAGAAGGAAATGTTTTCAAAGGAATTCCTAAGGCTGGCCATTACGAAGATTCGTCCGCGTATCACGGACCTGCACTAAAGGAGCAATCTGTTAAGAAAGAAAATGGACCACCTGAAATCCAAGAAAATGTGAAAAAGAGTGATGCTTATGAGGTTCTTTCTGATGATGGCTTGGCAAATGAGGAAGAAAATGAGGGGGACCAAATGGTAAAAGTAGGACATCCACTTGTCAAAGCCCATGCTAGCGATAAACATTCAAATGACTTCAAGGGACATCGCAGAGCAGGACTGCACATTGTCTCATTTGATGATGATGAAGATAATAGTGAAAACAGTTTGCGAGAAAAAGACTTGAGACTGTACGGCTCAATCGGATCGCCCTCTTCAAGGCCTCATAGGCATAAATCGCACAGATATCGATCACATCATACATTTTATCAAAACGATTATATTCCACCAAACGTCGTATCTCTCTCACCAGAGGATTTAATGGCGCCTCTGTCCAGAAATGATGCTCAGACTAGAGAAGAAATATTCCCGAATTTTAGAAGGCGTGATCCTCTCTTCTTTTCTAGACCTTCCCAATTAACGCAACCGGAAGAGCTGGTGCAACGTTTTCAACCAGTTAGTCCCAAATCGATATCGTATGGTGATCGACCCAATACGCTTTTACTTCCATTGTACGATGGCAACGCAGGTTCCAATCCACAGATTGTTCCCATGACCGCTCAGAGTGCTTTTCCGGCTTCCCCTCCTCAGTTCGGAGCAGCACCTCTCGAATATACCTCACCACAACCCTCTAGTATCTTTCGCAGTGGACTATTACTACAGTCTGCACTTCAGGTTCCTCAGATTCCGACACAATCTATCAACCCGTCTTACATGATGGCTTCACAGTCGGACGGCCAGATTTTCTTTAACAACCAACAACCCGATGTACGGTCGTTGTACCAGCTACAGTCTCAGCCACAGATGCAAATTCCTCAAGTTCCCATGCCACAGCTAACACAGATTCAGCAACCTGTCATTCCCAATGAAATGCAGATGACACCCGAATTGCTTAGTTCGGAAAGCCAGCAAGAGATCCGTCCAGCAAGCAGGTGGGTAGACGAGGACGGGCGGGTGCGTAGTGAGGTCTTGGATCGTGACACAGATAGACAAGACGACGAAAGGCCTAAGGACGATAGAAATGAGGACGATGATGATGATGAAGTTAGGCATCAAAGTAGCAGATACTACGACAGAGATGACGATTCACGAGCAGAAGAAAATGACGACGACAGGGCACGGGAGGACCAAACATCAGATGATCAGCCGGAACAGCAAGAGCAGCTAGAGCAGCCAGAGCAGCCATATTCTAGAGAGGAAGAGGGGCCTTCAGACGAAGAGGGTGAGGATACAGAGGAACCAGAAGATGAATCTACTGAAGATGCCACGGGTAGGGCATATGGGACAAACGGACCAGGAGCAGAGGATGACCAAGTCACCAGTCAAGACGAGGATGATAGGGATAACCAAGAAATGGAGCCACAACAAGGACGTTCTACTCCACAAAGAAACTGGCAACAGTTCAGTCCTCAAGCCATGACCCGTTTTATGCCCCATCCCGTTCAAATTCCTAAATTCTTCTCGCCTGTGAACACGATGATCCCAACTCAATTGAACGCCCAAACGTTTTCAAGGTATCAGCTGATGTCGCCTTCGTCGGCCCTCAAAGAACATATTTTACCGAAGCCTCAAAATGAGCCAAAACCTCCTCCAGACAACCCTCATTCAGACTTTAAAATCTCCCAGATGAGCACTGCAGAGGCCCAGTTTTATGAAAATAAGGCAGCAATGGAACCAAACTTTTCACCACCTATCGCATCGAAAGATATCATTCCAGGGAAATCTCACAGATTTCGCTTTGGACTCCGTAACGTTCTTATTAGGTTGAATGGCAAACCATTGGAGGACTCCTCACAACTGCGAAGCAAGATCATAAATGGACAAATCGTACAAGGCAAAGGAAAGATGATCAAATCGAAAGGTCCAGTCCGTGTAAGACTTTCTCATACTAAGGACGCGAAGCATCTAAAGATTATTGATATTCTAGCGCCAAAACAGTTTCACGTGTACGATACCAAAAGTAGGATCAGAAGACCTACAAAAAACATCTTAAATGACGCAAATAAAAGGAATACAAAGATCTCCCTGCTTGATCCTAAGAGAAGGATACAAACATGAAGACGTTTGATGCTATGAAATATAAGTATAGTATCGATATACATAACTTTTTTGACTAAAAATTTAAAGACCTCATCATTTTTCATAATCAGTATGTACAAATCATGCCAAATTTACGAAATCGCAGTGTTTAAGAGTGATCGAAAGAAGATTATAGCACAGGAATAGCCCAAGAGTATCCTTTTTAGAACCATTAGACTATGAGATATAGGCTAACTTGAACATTGAGGTTTTACACCACATATATTTAAAGGAGCATGTACCATAAAGTAGTCAATTTAATACCAAGACTTTTTGATGTTGCAGTAACTGTAAACATTTAAATCAGTACATCCATGCGTTCAACTTATCTTTGGAAGGAAAATGAAAAAAAAAATGCAAGTCGTAACCAACTGTCATTGTTGCTTGCGTTTTCAAACTAGTTTTTAGTGAAACGTCAGGGCCGGAGCCACAAAAAAATCATGTCTGAGGCAATGATATTTTCTTGTTTTTTATTCATGTGGTAGCAGTATTTTACTTTCCTCCTTCGGAAGAAAAAACTCCGAAAACGAAAAAAATGATTGAGGTAAGTTCCACGGCTTGCTAGTTACTAGCTACGACCCTGAGCGTAACGTTGCGTTCATTTCGGCTTACCCGGGAGCTTACTTGGCACTTATCCCCAACTCATTTCCAATTTAGAAACATCTGTGAAAAAGTTCAATTTTAGAGCTGAGCAGTAAAACATCATTCTTAGAGTTAATTTTTTCCTGTGTTCTCGCAACTGTCCACTATATTTATATGTTGAAGGAGTTATGCAGCGTTTTCATAATTCCTTTTATTTATTTTCATTTTGAAGTGTAAAATTGCTTTCAAATCGAAAGAAACCTCTAAAGGCAGAAAATGCAGCCTTATTTTCCACTCAGTTGATGACAACGACGACGACGACCACGGCAACAACAACTACAGCAATCTCTATTTTCGTTCAATTTAGAGTTCGAATGGCGGGCGGATAGCTAGTTCTAGTCTGGGCAGGCCAGTCTATCAAGATCTATTTACAAATGATAATGATGATGATGAGGAGGAGGAGGATAAAAAGCATCAACGAGTTGGATTAAAAGGATAAGTGCAGGATGAACAACGAACCTAGAAAAAGCAAAGCAGACTGCATTTTTTCAAGAAACTCCATATGTGACATAGCTCCTTTACTTGGACTGACGTGAGGCGTCATGGTACCACTTCCAAAGAACAGTGAAGAATCTAAATTAAACTATCGTTTCCCATTCATTCAGTATGAAATAGGGTATGGGGTTAGAAAACGGCGCAACACTAGCACCCCTCCCCCTTTTCCAAACACCCGACAACCACAAGAAATACAAGAAGTAACAACCCCTCCCGGAGACATTCGTCGATAGTTATAACTTTTTTTAGCTACGGTTTCCCTTGCTCACTCCCTTTTGACAGTTTATTGTTGCCAACATCTGGGTGCAAATTCAGTTCTTAATTCTGAGAATTTGTCTCCATATCGATCGAAATGCTTAGTTCCTGTTACCTGTATGCTTAATCATGTCTCGACAATATTAGAAGAAATTCCAAGTTGATCTCTCAAACGGTGATAATTCGCGTTTTCTTTAAAATGTGATTCTTACCCATTTTATGACAAAATTAGCAAATTCCATTTCCTACAGATCTCTAAAATGCAAATAATTGAATTTTTTTACTCCACTTAAATAAGAACAAGTGTAAGATCACATAAGAAAACACCATTCACCGTCCTTTTCGTTTTTTACGTTAACTTGTTTGCTCTCAACTAAATGTATGTATGAGTAATCAGACGTTGACGAGTGAAAGTAGAAAATAATTTCATGCGCGTTTTGTCAAAATTCTTTATTTGACAAAAAATTATTTCTTAATTTCACGAGTATACCAATTGATCACCTTTTAATATCATAGATAACAAATTAGGTTTACAATCCTGAGTTTTGGACTTGTTTATTGCATCGATACATTTCTCGCCAAGCGTTGCCATGGCAATTTGATAATTTCACATATGAAATAATAAATAAACGCTGAAATTTCGCGCCAAAAAAACAATAAATAGAGTCAACAAAAAAAACGAAAACGCTAACACGTTAGCAAATTCTTTGTGCACACCAAATGAATTACGCTTCCACGAAAACAAGAATCGTCTAGTATACCTTGACATGGCGAAAACTGAAAGAAACCAAAACCAGTGCTTAATTTTACTTGATTTTATTAGTATTCAGTGAGATGGAGATGCGATTAAAAGGCACGCCAATTTAGTTTTGGTCTAATCTTCGCAAAATTCTTCACCTTTTATTTCCTGAAAGGTGAATAACACCAAGATTAGGTCACACTTATAGCGCAGTATCGGCCCGGTAAATAATTCATATCGAACCGGTTTTTAACCAATTGGAGGTTTATTCACTGACAAACAACACTTTCCTTGGCCCTTATGTTTGATGGCGTACCTCTTGTGAAGTTTTGTCCCCTCCCAGTTGGGCGGGTAATGCGATGTGAAATATAACAAAAAATAGAACATTGAGCTGAGCTAAGCGAGAGGTGAAAGGCTGCCTCCGTTGGCCGTATCCGTAACGTTAAATATGGCGAGAGGTTTGGCTTTACTGGTTTTAACTATTGTTTTATGGACTGCAATTTCGGGTAAGTACGCTTCATATTTACTGCCCTCTAGATCCGCATGCGGTTCCAAAATGTTCCCTTTGAAATCACGTTGAATTCCCGAGACCTGTGCACCAGATTAGATAACGTAAAATGTGGGCTAGTAGAGCGGGGAAATAATGATATTATTATCAGTGAATATGGGCATTTTGGACTGGATTGATTCCAAGGTGCCCATATTTTACCAACAACAGCCATGTTTTTATCAACAATTCTTTTTTTGTCTCGGAGATAAATCACATGGGAATCAAAAATGCTCGATTAATGATATTTTAGAAGTCTGTGATCTGTTTTGAAATCCAAATGAAGTTTTACAAGGTGATAATTTAGTAGCGCGTCTAATGGCAACCTGTTTCCATTAACACTGTCTCAATGGCCGCCTGTTTACTCTTGACTATAACATTGTTTTTGATTGATTGGTCTGCTGACAAAGCGGCGGGTGGACGTAACTTGCCACTGACAGGCAATCTGTGACTTTCACGCCTTGATGGTGAACGCAATTTTAGGCTAATTTGATTCAACCTTGCTCGATACAAGGCTTAAAAAAACTTTGTAACGCTCAAACTGGAAAACAAATGATTCTCTCTGACAACAATTCTGTCGTGTTGTTGTCAGGTTTGTTTTCAAGCGGCGCAACTTTGTTCCAAATTGATTCAAATTGTTTGTTTTTGCCTTGGGCTAGATGCGCCCATAAAAGGAAATTCAGTTGTGTATCGCTTATATTTAATATAATTATGTATTTTCGATTTAGAAACGAGGTACGTATTTAAAGCAAAGCAGTTTTACTTTCAACGGGCGATTAGCACAGACACCTGGTCACGTGACACATTCTTAGCCAATAAAATCTGACGCTTGTTCGACCGAAATTACGTGCAGTCGTGAAATACGAATTAGACTCGAGTTATTTCTCGCGCTATAGACTTTCAGTGACTGATTTTGTATATACAGACTTTATAAATCTAATATCACCGAAAAGGGTTTTATTACAATTTGTGATAGCGTCAGAGTGAAGTCAGCTGATTGGCTCACTTAACTCTGAAATTCGTGAGAAATAACACATGCTTACGAAATACAGCAGAGCTTTTAAGCTCAAAGCTCTACTGCGTTTCGTAAGCATGAAAAACTAGGCTGCCATCTTGGGATACCACATCGGTAGAGGTTAGAATATTAACCAAAGATGCGTTCTAAGCAAAAAGGTCACAGCTATAAATTTAGGCATGGCTAAGTGCAAAACAATGCAGGTTCTGTTTAGGTGGACCATATTGACTCTTGGACCACATTTCACCATTGAGTGAGGAGATAGAATTGGCGTTGCCTAGATTTCCTTTATCATTTTGCTTTCTGTTTTGTTCCAAGTCTTCTGCTTGATTTGTTCTGCCTCCTAATCAGAGTATTTTTCATTTATTTGGCCGCATTCACTTACCGTCCGTATGCTCTATAAGAGCCCCCGCGGGCCATTCTTGTCATGATCAAGCACCCTTGAGGACCTTGAGAGGTTGAATATCAGAGAGGGGGCCTATTTCATTCAGTTAAAAGCCAGCAGGTTATTAGTTTACAAGTTATTGTTTCGAACTGTACTTGTGATCAACGACCTTCTGTATTCGTGATTAGTTACAGAAGTCCCAGTGCGCAATTTGCCATCCAGCATGGCAAATCTTATACCACGTCATCGTAATCTGCAAAGGGCCTATTGGGGTGACAAATTTCTTGCTCCAACAAGGAGGAGCTAATTTGATAAGGGGTTGGGGCTTTATAGAGGATTTACGGTTTTAGGGGTAAGCATCGCTCGTTTTACAGGTATACGTTACTGAATATCTCTGTAGGTTAATCTCTAAAGATTTCCGGAGGCCCCTCTACCCACACCTTTTGTTTGTTTTTTTAATCTATAATTAGTTTCCATACTTATCTGCATACATTTTATAGTTTTAGCGAGAAGTGTTACAAATGATATCAACGCAAATCCAGTTGGGATAATTTCCTTAAATCTTACTGGCGGCGTTATGATAGTCATCACATTCGCTGAGTAACCAATAATTAGATTCTAATTAAGTAAGCTAATACTCTGGATAGCTTACTATGCATAAAAGCTACAAACTCTGTAGGTGTAAGAAATTTTGGTTAAAAGTGACATGGTCAAGTCCTCAGTTATGGCACGAGGACAGCCAATAGTTATCGATCGTACCCCCTATGGCATCTATTACTAGTGCAACAAACTTTCTCAGCTATAAGAGAAAGATGATTAAATTTTTAATTAATGAAATAATGCCATGCCACGCACACAAAGCTAAAAAATAAAACTATTTTCACAATTTGAAGGGGCTTTCAATATACGTCTGATGGTTTTCTGGAGGTCTCCTCTCCCTATCAAAGTTATTTTTATTGTTTACACTTTTTTTTTATTGTGACGTTTGGTGATACTGATAATGATGATGATGATGATGATAATGATTTTGTTTCTTTTCAAAGCCGATGAAGTCGAAAATAAAGCAGACAACATGGCTAAAGCTATCGCGCAGCAAAACAAAAAAGTTGAAGAGCAAAGCGAAGCTATGGAAAAAGCCATTGACGATAAAGGAAAGCTTGTTGATGCCAAAGAAGAGGAAGATAAATTTGAAAAAGCCAGCGAAAAGGTAGACGCTGTCGGAGATGCAGCCGATACAAAATTTGAACAGAAAGGTATGTCATGCCATCTCAAAATGCGTTGTATCTTTTAGTCGTTTTGCTCCAAGGCAGTTCGTACGAAATAAAATTCAGATTTTGTTATAGAAATAAAATCTTGAAGACTGTAATAACTAAACATGTCTGCGACCTCTTATGGTCTATTGTAGCAAATCGTGAGCAAATCACGGTTTTCTTTGGTCCTAAATAACGGACAACACATGTTCTCGAGACATTTGAGTTACCATCAAGGGCGTAGCTAAGGGGGGCTCCTGGGGTGCCCGTGAACCCCCCCTCCCCTTTTTGAAAGCCTTTTTTAAGCAAACAACCTACAACAGGCGGCGAAAACGCTATGACAGTCATGACAATCTGGTGAGTACCCTCACTTTGATACAGTGTGACCCCCCGTCTCTGAAAAATCCTGGCTACGCCCCTGACCATTGCATGAACCAGATACATACGCTTCTTTCATAATCTTTTCAAAGGCAACTCTCGTTTTGCCCCAGTCGTCCCCGATCCAGTTTCTCTCGCCGTTCTCCTTTGGAGCCATATGCAGTTTATTATAAGACAGAAACAAACTGCAAAGCAGTGTTTTAGTGATTGCATTTTTTAACTCTCCGCGAATTAAAATGTTTAACAATAAATGTATCATACTTTTATATTTATTTACAAATTTCTTATTCCAGCCAATTTGGTTGATAAACTTGCCGACGATACAAATACCGCTATTGAAAATCAAGCAAAAAAGGTTGAGGCACTGGGCACTCGAGCGGATGTGGACGAGGAACGTGCCAGTAACCTGGTAGAGAAAATCGGTAAGTGTCGCAGATCGATATGCGAAATACTATAGAAAAAATATATATTAACGCTTATAACACATTTATCTTGACCTGAAGTCGGAAAAAACTTCAGAGATGCTGTCTGTAATTCTCAATCTTAAGAAACAATGGCAAGTGTTAAAAAATCAAACATCCTCCGTGAAGAAAAAAAAGATGGCGGCTGTGCATTTTACCACCAGACCTTGCAAACCTAACACAGCACATTGGACACATAGCCATATTTTTACTATATTTGTCCCTGAACTAAGGATATTGTGTATGGTAGGTTTGAAGTTTTGTGACTTTTCTGTACGTTTTTGTGGAAGTTTTTAACGTTTTCGTCTTCTACGAATTATGGATAAATGTACTAGTCGCTATCTTTTTTCTCACGGAGGATTATCACAATATATTTTGCCTGACAGACCTAGCTAGAACACTGCTTTCCCTTTAGGTAGTTTACGTCTTTCATTATCTCTTCTGGATCATTCCCTCTCTTAATTTTATCACCTTTTATGTACAACTTTCTCTTGTTTCAATTAATCTTTTAAAACTATTCCCCTTTAACCCACTTCGACAACTTTCTTGACGTCACAACGGAACCCGATTTGCAACATGACAGTCTCACTCACGTGACTCGTGACTTGACGCGACAGAAATTGCAACGACGCTTACATCATGTGAGAAAACATCTAATAACATAGCCGAAAGCGATTATATCATGTGTTTTCTTTTCTTAATGGCAAATCTATGCTACTCCAGCTAACTATTTGAAAAATTTCGAAGATCAGACAAGCAAACCACACTTTGAATACGCGCGTCATTATTTTTATTTTTATTTATTTATATTTATTTTTTCCTTTCTTCATTTGATATCCTATTTACATGTAAATCGAGCGGTCTTAAATGTAATCATAAAGCAAGTCAAAGTAACCAGGTTTAAAAAACAGACGACTGGCTGATCAAAACAGCGGTCGAGAAATTTGATGGTGACATGCGCTTACTCCAGATTTTTACAATTCACGGAAAAAAATTTCCACATAAAACCAAGCCATTTTACCTTTGGATACTGGTTATCGAAATAAATTATGTACGTGCAAGCGATTTCGTTTTTGAAGACTCGATGTCAGTTGCAATTACGTTTTCTGTTGGCGGAAAGAAAAGCCCTGCTCGAGTTTTTTTCCTATGAAATTCAATTTGTATTTCGTGTGACTTCGTCAAGGCAACAAGATTGAAAAGAAAATAAAGGATCCTGAGACAAAGGTGAAGCCGAAGTCCCGGATGAGTATCTCCTACACGGTCCGAGTCCCTCACGAAGTTCCCACTGATGAGATGGCAGATAGGGACGAGTATGAAAGCGAGATTAAATCGAACACAGAAGAAGAAAAGACGTACCCATGGCCTCTCCGTCAAGAAATACATGGCTACATCCCAGACTTCCATCATAACCCGGATGAAGGTGCAAGCGACATGAGCCTGAAGCCGTTCAAAGTCGACGACGCAGCGGTGGACCATGATGCTTTGTCAAATGAGGAATTCACGGAGACACCGAGTTTACGAAACCACCTTGAAAAAATGTTTTACATGCCTCGACATCCAACTCCTCCTCCTGAAAATCCCTCCCTCCCTCCTCGTCTTCCTGAAAGACCGCCCCTCCCTCCACGACCATTTCTACCACATCATAAGAGATTCGGTAGGCGCCGGCATCACTTTAAGGGATATGGCCCTCGAATGGGGAAAGAAGGGTTTATTCAACCTACTTCTAAAAGCAGTGATCTTGGGTTACTTGTGTTACCAAGTGGCGGGCCTAACAGGCTGTCTGAGGACGTAAGGAATCAATTGGAGGATGATGAGTTATTAAGGAAGGCTGCTAAACAGGCTTTTAACAATGATGAAGGTAATGTAAATGTGTTATCTTAATAGAATAGAATAGACTGCAACTACTGCCCACAGGGGCTGATCTAGGGGGAGGGTGCAGGGAGTGCGCATCCCCCTCCCCTGAGATGACATATTCGGTTTTAAAATTTGTTTACATCACCAGTCAGTTACGCCATTCCTTAGTGGTGCACCCAGTCCTAAGAAAAGTCCTGGATCCGCCCCTGGCCCATTCCCTTCTGTGGACTTAAAACAAAGCAGATGACTTAAATTTAATAGATAGTTATTTAGTGAACATAGGAGCGAGGGAAATTGGTTTGATTCTAGGAAAAAAGGTACACCAATTCTTGTTTTTCTGCAATTGATATAATACTAGGCTGTTATCAAATCCTAATTTCTTGTAACCTCTTTGAATTAATATCACCAGAAAGAGTGTAAAGAGCTGTGGGACGCTAAGGCCTCTTAGCCTGTTGGTAGCAAACTTTGTTTTTTGTCTGTGCATGAAACCAAGTACAATTTTTTTTTTATTTCTCCTTTAATTTCTTTGTATCCTCACGTTACAACAAAATTTACAAAAACAGCAAAGGCATTTTAGATACCTACCCTGTTTTGTGTGTGTTTCTTCGTATCGGTATTATATATGTAAGTTTGTTACTCTACTCTAGGTAACTTGTCGGTAGCCAAGTTGCCTTTTCTCGTGAAATGTCTAATTACTGCGATGTTTTCCCTTACAGTGAACGTGTTTTTTCTTACCCTTGTTAACTTTGTAGCTGTTCTTGTACAGTAATTATAATTATTGTAATTATTGTTGTTGTTTTTGTTGTTGTTGTTGCTGCTGCTGCTGCTGCTGCTACTTCTGTTGCTGGTACTGTTGTTATTACCGTTGATTTTGTTGTTTGTTGTTGTGGTGGTGGTGCTGTTGTTACTATTGATGATGATGATGATGATGATGATGATGATGATGATGGTGATGATGGTGCTGGTGCTGGTGCTGGTGCTGGTGCTGGTGTTGCTGTTGTTAACTTAGTTGCTGTTTATGATGGTTCTAACGAAATTAACTTACTTCATAGACATGGATATCACGCAAGAATTGCAAAAGAGCGCTGCAGAGGACAACATGGAACGACAGTGGATGAAAATAAACGCCATTGGCAGTCCAGAGCTGTTGCTTCACTGGCCGCGCACCAGCAAGAAGCTGGGCGCCATTGGTCAGCAGCAGGTCAGCGTTGTCAGTCCTGGCGAAGTAGATCTGTTACAAACTGAATACCCCGACTATCCCAAACCAAAAGCCATGGGAACTAACGTCCCAGGAATCATCAGGAGCAAGATTAGTAGGAAAAGAAAAGGAGAGGCGTCAAAGAAACTAAAACAGTGACAAAATTGAATACACAAAAAGAAAACAGGACAATTGCTTTCAATACTATTCCTAAACTGTTTCTCTCGAAAAGTTACTCGCGGACACTTAAATTTATAGTTCTGTATTGTTGTCTTCCATCCAACGCATCTAGTCTTCAATTTGATGATTGTTTGTGCGTAACTTTCGTAGGTGGGGTTTGTTAACTTCGCGTTAAATCCTTAGTCCAAATTTTTTTTTTTCTTGTCCGCTTTATACAGCATGTGTCACAGGAATGGACTTAGAGCCATCTTATTCAACACAAACAATGGTTTGAAACGATAGACACTACTTTTAGTTAAATGAAATGAAGTACATTTTTCCACAGAATTACACATTCAACCAATTTGTACAGACTAATAAACAATGACTGTAAAACACTTCTACCAAGTTTTTAAGCTGAACAAACAGTTTCAAAACATGTTTTCTCAAAATTCACATCAACCATAATAATAATGTATTTGATTTGCGCCAATTAGATCGCACAAAAAAGACATATAGAGAGTTGTCATACGCGCGATGCTGTAATTGTTAGCGTCGGCGTATGACACTGATATTGAACGGTCCACATGAATACGAATGATACTTGTGTTTTGCCTGAATAAGGATCGTCATAGGCCCCGTATACCGAAATATTCTGTGGTACTCAAGGACGCCTGACTTGAAATGGAATATCCTATTAGATTGCGATCTGTTCTTAGGAGTTCGACTCAGGTATTCCAAGCGTAAATCACGGATGGTATGCACCTTGAATAGTCCAGAATTCTATGATGTAAAGTTTGCATATTCGAGACCAGAATACCAACCTCTTACAAATCGAGCGCAAGGGTCGTACAGGAGAATATTGACCCGAGGTCGTGGCAGTACGGACCGAACGCAGCGAGGTCCGTACAAAAGCGACCGAGGGCCAATATTCCTAATCCGGCTCGGGCAAGCTAGGTTTGTAAGTAGTTTATTACATGGCACTCGAGCCATGCTTGGTCATTGAATTTGGCGGCTTCAAAATCAAGAAGTACACGGATTATGACCGTTTGAATGGAAACGTTCCGTCTGGTAAAATCTTGACCAAGAAAGAACGAATCAGAAAGCTCGAATTTACCTCAAGACTACCTTGCCATATAGTAATTTAGGATACTTTTGCTCTGGCGCAGTACCAGTGCAGCTAGTGTCATTCTTTTTAGAAGCTTAATTTTGCCAAGGCGTAACTCGATCCAGTTCCAATCCTCACCTCGTTCTCCTTACACCTACTCCAGTCCAAGAATGATTTGAAACATCTACTGACAATGGTCATCACATTAGGTGTAACACATACCGCTACGAATATCACTGCCATAGTTGTAAAAGTACGACAATAATAGGCCATTTTACAGTTACGTGTTCAGTTACCTGACCCATGAATGGAAATGACGCTGCAAGTGACCTTGTTTTGATACAAACCTCACTGCTTTGCTCATGTAAATGTAGACTCGTTAGCATTAGAACAACTTGATTTACAAAACAAAAGCAGTGAGGTCTTTATCAAAACAAGGTCACCTGCAGCCTAGTTGCCATTCAAAGGCCAGGTCATTGAGCAGTCAGCTGTAAACGAACCCTAACCCTTACGGGTAGAATTAACGGACTACTGTAAATACTTCCAGAACAAGATGAAACACTGAGAGGCAAACAACAACTGGCATCATGACGTAACTTTCATCACCTCAACATCTACAGTTACCTGAACCGTCACTTGTCAAATTTCTTTTTCATTTTGCTTTTCATCCTTCTATTCGATTAATTCAGTTCTAACTTCCTTTTCACTGAGGCGTTTGCCACTAATGTCAATGTCTTGCACGCAATTTTCAATGTGTTCTCAAATAGGTTCAACAAGTCCAGTCAGCGATCCAACGAAGAGGACTGGCCAAATGATAGAGCCTAGCAAAGTGGTCGTATTTCCTGACTCGGCAGTCCGTGGAACCGATATCAGAAACATGCAGATCAAGGAATTCCATCCTAAGAATGGCAAAGGAAAATGGCTGGCAGTTCACATTCCTGACCATATGAGTTATCCGAGAAAAAATGTGAAAATTATTACTTCGAAAAAAGTTGCAAATGAGTTGCAGAGGGTTGTCGGGCCTAATCAAGATACCCTTGCGAGGGAGATTCAGTCTATTCTAGGTGTTGACGAGAACACGTTGCAGAAAATGATCATTGAGGGGCAAGAAAACGACGACGAGAGTACGGAAGGCGATGATGATGATTATGATGATGATGATGACGATAGTGAGGACGAGGATGACGATGATGAGGGAAATGATAACGATGACGATGAGAATGACGAGGACGAATTTCCAGGAGATGGGTATTTCAACGATGGTAAAATATCGGGAAAGAAACACAAGGAAAACTCTGGATCTGGGGTTGAAGACCCTAAGGTACACGTTGAACAGCCAGAAGGGTTTGAACTTCGATGGGAAGACATTCTTAACAACTTCAAGCATTTCAACCTTAAAAGAAGGAAGAAGATTTGCAAGCTATTCGCCTTACACAACAATAAATGCCACAGAGCAAGGAAACGAAAGCATGGCTTTAGACGAAAGCTAAAACATTACCTTCTTCGCATGCTAAGAAAATTTTTGAAAAGTAATAAAAATGATTTTGAAAATTATTTGAGTAGTAAGCTGAAGGATGCCCTGGCAGGGAGAGTTAAACCATCCGATGATGGCCTCTTGCATATTTATTCAAAAAATTCTGGAAACATGAACATGGAGGATTTCTTAAAGGATCTTACTGACAGCTCACAGCCGCGACTAAATGCTATGTCCCAGTCCTCTTCCAATCAGGCTCCCCTCACCATGGATGACACGGTGGGCGAAGGCGTTTTCAAAGTGACTCCACAGATGAATAAATTAGCAGACGAAGAGGGTCAAGAGCCTCCATCTGATGCTGTCTCAGAACTCAATAATATTATACACCCTCTACTAAATGATCAAGATAACAAAATGGATGAGAAACTTCAGACCAAAATTTTGCAAGAGGAGCTGGGTAAGTCCTTTAACGACTAAGAGGTGAGAAGGATTTTTCTGGGTTCGAAATTCGATGTGTTGCTAATTTGGGAGCCATTCATGGGGAATGTTTGGGAAGATTTAGTTTGAGATTATCTCTTTTGATTACTGATATGGAATGTGTTTTGAAGAGGTTCCCTCGCCACTATTTGTCTTCTCTTTTCATAGAATTACCGCTGGATAAGGTTTTTTTGTGATAACCAGGATTGCATTAACGTACGTTTCAAACGTCAGCTCAAGAGGGTAGTGTTCGGAAACCTCTAAACGTTCTGAGAAATGCATGATTGCAAACATTCGAACGACTGCGAAACTAGTGATCTCACTCGTTAGATATCAAGTTAGATATTCCAAACGAAATTCCATATCTTCGCGTTCCCATGTGACTGCAAGCGCTTCACTTTTCCGTCACGAGGCATGACAAATTTCTTCTTTAAAAGCTCAATTTGTTGTTTTGTTTTTAGGCCACGTCAATGCAGAACAGGAAGAACAAGAACGACAGAAAGCCAAAGATGCTTCGGTCAACGATCGTCTGATGTACATGTTCCAGTTACAAAATCTCGCAAGTCACAAACCCGGGGTGACGCCAAACGGGGAGATTGGGGGCCAGCCAATCACTGTGGTAAACCCGCACCAGGTCTCTCTGATGCAGATGGATCTTCCAGACAAGAACCCGGATATACCTTTACTGGCGTCCAGTCATACGAAGCCTCCCGTTACGAGGGCAAAAACTAGAAAACGGGTTTTTCCTGCCAGGAAACCAGTTTTCGCATTAAAAGCGGTTTTTCCTTTTGGAAAAAGAGTTCTTCCCGTTAGGAACCCATCGATAAGACCGAGATTAGTTGGGACTTTTAGAATTAAGACTCCATGGCGGCCGACACCGACGAGGTTATGGAAACGAAGCTACGGAAGTCACAGTAAAGGAACAGTAAATAAGGTCAAATACTTGAGACGCATGGCCAGGAAGAGATCAAAAAGAAAATCATTTTAAATAACAGACAATTTGACTACTGTCAACTACAAGTTCGGGTACAAGACTGGGTGCTAGCTTGGCGCGCATGGATATCTGGGATGGTTTAGGTTGGAAATTAAGATGGCGTCAGTTGTCGGCTGAAACATTCTTCCAAATCAAATATATCAAGCCATTGAATTGATATGTTATGTTTTACATAAGAGAAAACAAAAATTAATCTGACCTACGCAGTATGATCGGATTTCAAAGTAGCAAAACCAGAGGAGTTAACAACATTTGAATTTTCATTTCCCGGGAAAGCGCAAGCAGCTCCGTGCTGCCGCCGTATTGAATTTTTCAACAATCCCAGATATCGAAGAACCCACGAGACGAGTTCCTTTTGTGGCTGTACACTAATTACACATACACGCACAGAACAATTTTGTAAGAAAGATTTGTTAGATAAGGTTTAGTTTTGAATAGAAAAAAAAACTGAAACAATTGATAAATGCTCGGCTTATCATCATCCCCTAAATTACGCTTGTATAGGTTTGTTTACTTCTCGAAGAAAGATTTAGATGAATAAAAATAGATGGTAGTCGCCACACTGAATGAATAGGCCATTCCGAGTTTCCTTGTGCCTCTGTTTCAAAACGAGTCTTAGACCAAGATCTTTCATACGAAAATGAGTTTGATTTGCATGAAAATGAACCTGTAGGCGGAACTTATTTTCGTATGAATGGTTTCGCGTGAAGACTCGTTTTGAGACAGAGGCAAAAGGCATCTTGGAAATGGCCTAATCTTTAGATGCAGTTTTAATCATACCCATGCTGGCTTTTATCATAAAACGTTGAATGGAAGAGGTCGAAGAGTAATGCAAGCGCTAGGTATGTTATTCAAGTTAATTACAAGCGTCGTTTCTTTTCCAACAAGTTGCATGGATTTCGCATCTACAATCACAGTACGAAACATTTTATGTCTGTACATCGATTATTGTGTATATAGTTGAATTATGTTTTTAATTACATTCTTTCTTTGTGAAAACACCCAATAAAAAAATACGTAAGTTGTAGCAAATGACAGACCTTTCGGCCTTTTTACTGTAACACGATCTTTTTAATGTTTCGGTAATCTTTAATCCACTTACTCGCAAGAGCATTAAATTTTTCTGTTTCGCAGTATCTTTTGTTGATATAAGCATTGGTCGTGTTTCTAGCAAGTATTGTCCCCCGTTTCGCATAGCCGACACGAAAGAGTAGACCGGTTGTATTAAACCCCCTCCCCCTACCCCCTCTGTCCCCTACCCCCTCTGTCC